ACAAGGAAGCCAGGAAGAGCAATTCTCTCTTGTGCCTGGGATGCCAAATGAAAAGAAAAATGGCTGAATGCCTGCCAAAACAGGTAACCAAAAAGCAGTGAAAATATTTGTGATAAGTGAGCTAAATTAAAAAAAAAAAAAAAAAGTAGGTTATAGGCTAGACACAATTGAGGGACCTATTTAAAGAGGTCTAGGAGGCCTCTCTGAAGAAGTAACATTTGCATTGAGACCTCCAAGTGAGCATGAATTAAGACAACATTCCAGACAGGAAGCAACAAGCTTAACAGTCATAGGGTGGAGTAGGCTTGATTTTTCCTGAAACTGCCAGAAGATGAGATCTATGGGAAACCAAAGAGTAAAGGGATGCAAGGGGAGTGTCATGGATAGGGAAGTCATTGAAAGGTCTTAAGATAAGAAATGCATGTTTGATTTATGTTTAAAAAAGTAACTGGCTCTGTGGTAAATTACTCGGAAAGAGTGAGAGTGAAAATGGGGATGCCAGCTGGGACGCGATTGTAGCAGTGCAAGAGATGGCAGGGTTAGGAAGGGCCATAGCGGGGTAGTCAGCAGGAAAGATGCCAAGAAGTGAGCCACTTAAGATATATTTTGCAGAACTTACTGATGGGTGAAATAAAAGAAAGGTTAGGAGCGGCAGGAGTTACCCATGACTCACATTGTCAAGGATGAACAAAGCAGGACATTAGTTAATGTGGTAAGAACAGATTTTTATTAGTAATAACTACTGCTATAAGGAAAAAAAAGAGTCCAACATGAACCGAACGAAACTTTAATCTGTACAGAGATGAATAGGTGTTTTAAAGGGAGAATCAGGAAAGGCAGGGGAGTCAAGTCAGGCAAGTAAAAAATTACAAAAGATTAGTTAGTGTCAAGGTGTCTGAGTCTTTCAATCCCATGCACTATAGCCCGCCAGGCTGCTCTGTCCGTGGAATTCCCCAGGCAACAATACTGGAGTGGGTAGCCACTTGACAACCCATTCCAGTATTCATGCCTGGAGAATCCCAAGGACAGAGCAGCCCGGTGGGCTACAGTCCTTAGGGTAGCGAAGAGTCAGACTCACTGAAGTGACTTAGCACACATGCATGCGATGTCAATGCAATCAGGCCAGCTGTGTCTGCTAGTGGTGATGACTGGACTTAAGATTCTACCCTCTTTGCAGAAGCTGGGACAGAGAGGTCCCAGTCTTGGGTGTTGACTGGAATAAACAGGGGCTTTGGCACCCTTGAATTTTCTCATGCAGGCACTTTAAGAGGACTGGGATTATTTTAGGATGTGGCCTCGAGAGGACCTATGTTCCTATTTGTTCAAGTCTTTATAGACAGAGGTTGAAGCCTCTGTCTATAGGCTTCAAGTTAAGAGGGCTCATAGGAGTCTGACTATAGTTTAGTCGAGGAGAGAAAATTTGTTGCTATGTTTTTGGTTTCAGTGACAGGGTGCTTGGTGATGTCATTCACAGAGAAGGGATGGTATAGGGGACAACTAAATTTAGAATATGGAAGAGACCAAATCCTATTTTGAACATATTAAGTCTGAAACATTCAAATGAGTAAGAAGTTAAATATCAGAATGGATCACATAAGAGAAGTCTGGGCTAGAGAAATAAATCAAGAGCTTTCAGCAGGATGTAACTCAGATATCACACAGGTGGGAGTTAGAAAAGACATATAGGAACTTTAGGAGTTACCCAACAAACTCATTCTTGAGATTTGTTTCCAGAAATGTATCATTGTTAGGTATGTGAAATTGTCTTTCTAATTGTCAGAAAGGAAAATTAACAGAGTAACAATCAAGGTAGCTATTAAATATTTGGAGATTTTTTTTCTATTTTTCTTTTGGTTTGAATCCTATCTCTATTTGCTATTGCTAAATCATAGGGCTTCCTGGGTGGTGTGAGTGGCAAAGAACCCACCTGCCAACTCAGGAGAGGTGGGTTCCATCCCTTGTTTGGGAAGATCCCTTGGAGGAGGGCACAGCAACCCACTCCAGTATTCATGCCTAGAGAATCCCATGGACAGAGGAGTCTGGCAGGCCACAGGCCATGGGGTTGCAAAGAGCTGGACACAACTGAAGTGATTTAGCCACACATGCACAAATCATAGGTGATATATATGCATGTATTGAACACTGTTCTCATACCCACTTAACATATATGGAAAACTGTACAGAGAAGGGTTAAATAACTTGCCTGAGGTGACACAAAATTAATATAGTTTGGGTCCTTTATTAAAACTAAGCATTCTGGTTCCAGTATGTTCTCTGATCCCCTATACTATACAGCAAGCCTAGAAAAGTAGCTTGGTTTATCATTTATCCGTTTCAGTTCAGTCCAGTTCAGTCGCTCAGTTATGTCTGATTCTTTGCGACACCATGAACTGCAGTACGCCAGGCCTCCCTCTCCATCACCAACTCCCAGAGTTCACCCAAACCCAAGTCCATTGAGTCGGTGATGCCATCCAACCATCTCGTCCTCTGTTATCCCCATCTCCTCCTGGCTTCAATCTTTCCCAGCATCAGGGTCTTTTCAACTGAGTCAGCTCTTCCAATCAGGTGGCCAAAGGATTGGAGTTTCAGTTTCAATATCAGTCCTTCCAATGAACACCCAGGACTGATCTCCTTAGGATGGACTGGTTGGATCTCCTTGTAGTCCAAGGGACTCTCAAGAGTCTTCTCCAACACCACAGTTCAAAAGCATCAATTCTTCAGTGCTCAGTTTTCTTTATAGTCCAAAGCTCACATCCATACATGACCACTGGATAAACCATAGCCTTGACTAGATGGACCTTTGTTGACAAAGTAATGTCTCTGCTTTTTAATATGCTGTCAAGGTTGGTCATAACTTTCCTTCCAAGGAGTAAGCGTCTTTTAATTTCATGGCTGCCATCACCATCTGCAGTGATTTTGGAGCCTAGAAAAATCAAGTCAGCCACTGTTTCCAGTTTCCCCATCGATTTGCCATGAAGTGATGGGACCGGATGCCATGATCTTAGTTTTCTGAATGTTGAGCTTTAAGCCAACTTTTTCACTCTCCTCTTTCACTTTCATCAAGAGGCTCTATAGTTTTTCTTCACTTTCTGCCGTAAGGGTGGTGTCATCTGCATATCTGAGGTTATTGACATTTCTCCTGGCAATCTTGATTCCAGCTTGTGCTTCCTCCAGGCCAGCGTTTCTCATGATGTACTCTGCATATAAGTTAAATAAGCAGGGTGACAATGGGTCATAAATAATAGACTATATATATATATACACACACACATATACATATATATACATATAATTGTACCAATAAGAGTTTTTATTGGCTCTGTGTTGATATGTGCACACCTGGATCATTAGGGTTAAAGCACAATTCACCTAGTGGCTGTGCCCCAGGTTATTACAGTCAGTCTCTAGGAAAAGTGGAACTGGTTTTGCTAGAACGGTCCTGAAGCCTCAAAGCAAAGGAACAAAAAATTTTTTTAACAAAACAAAAGAACAAATTTTTCACAAATACAAATTGCACTGGTCAGTTAAGTCTGCTCTGTCGTATGGCATCAAACTGAAGTCTTAAGTCTCTGGACATCATTTTCGGGTTGGGGAGATGAGTCAAGTTTTTCCCTCCATAGAACATTATGTGTAGTTTTGACACACAGCATTCACATCGTTGTCTTAAGTATGGAAGAGTTCCTTGAGGGCAGTAATTGTTTTATGACACCTTTTTTCTTTTTTTTAATCTCCTTGGAAGAAAAGTTATGACCAACCTAGACAGCATATTAAAAAGCAGAGACATTACTTTGCCAACAAAAGTCCATCTAGTCAAAGCTACGGTTTTTCCAGTGGTCATGTATGGATGTGAGAGTTGGACTATAAAGAAAACTGAGCACCAAAGAATTGATGCTTTTGAACTATGGTGTTGGAGAAGACTCTTGAGAGTCCCTTGGACTACAAGGAGATCCAACCAGTCAATCCTAAAGGAAATCAGTCCTCAATATTCATTCAGGAAGGACTGATGCTGAAGCTGAAACTCCAATACTTTGGCCACCTGATGCAAAGAACTGATTCATTGAAAAAGACCCTGATGCTGGGGAAAATTGAAGACAGGAGGAGAAGGGGACGACAGACGGTGAGATGGTTGGATGGCATCACCGACTCAATGAACATGAGTTTGAATAAGCTCCGGGAGTTGGTGGTGGACAGGGAGGCCTGGCGTGCTGCAATCCATGGAGTCCCAGAGTCCGACGCGACTGAGCAACTGAACTGAACCTTTTTTTCTTTTTAAAGTGCCTAGCAGAGTCTGTGCCTAGCAGAGTCTGACATGTAGTAGGGGCCCAAGGATGCTCGATAGTGGAGGAAGGAAAGGAAAGATCAAGGGAGGGAAGGAAGGAGAAAAGGAGGGAAAAGAAAAGGGAAGGAATTCAAATCAGACATTTCTACTGAACACTTAGAAGGTGAGCAGGGTGCGCTCCGACATTGCCAGTTTTTTTTTTAAGTTTTTCCCATTCACGCTGCACAGTTCCTCCACTAGCGCTCTGGCCCTTCTCAACCCCCAACCGAGTTTTCTGGCCTGGCAGACACGCCCACTGCTCCCCGACCGGCGTCCTCCGGACGGCTCAGTCACTGCGTCTGCGCACGCGGAGCGCTGCACCGCGGGCTTTCGGGGCGGGGTCCCGAGCAGGGCGTTTCGCCGCGGGGAAGAGGAAGAGGAAGTTGGGGGACGGTCCTAGCCGGGAGTGAACCGGAAGTGCAAGCGCTCCTGCTTCTCCTCGGCCAGGCGGAACCTGCTCTGCTGGGCCCGGTGGCCGCAAAAAAAAAAAAAAAAACTTTTCTTTCTCCCGCCCTAACGGTCGCCGCGGCCAACTGCCTCGCCCTCCTGGCCGCCTACCCTGCCTTCTCTTCTGTGCGGCTACCGCGCGGCCCTGTGTCCTTCTCGCCCGGCGGTATCCGCTTGCCGCTGCCACCGCCTCCTCGTCTTGCTGTCCGGCCAGCCGGCCCGCTCCGCTGCAGTGATGTGCGACAAGGAGTTCATGTGGGCCCTGAAAAACGGAGACCTGGATGAGGTGAAAGACTATGTGGCCAAGGTAAGTGGGGGAATGAGTGGAGTCGGCGAGAGCGCGGAGGTGGGATGGAGAGGAGGCTGAGGAAGCGGGGGCGACCTCCTGGATGGAGGTGGTGCGGAGAGTGGGAGGCCGGGAGCGTCTAAAGCCGAAAACTGGGTTCACAGAAAACGGTCGCGTTCTGGGTCAAATAACTGCCGTGGTGACACAGAGCCTTGCCTTGCTGGTTTCTCGGGGGTTGGGGAGAGTGGGTGACCACCTCTTCTAGAGTCGCTTATGAGCACTGAGGACTTGAGTTCGGCCCTCTTCGACGCCAACATTATTTCCAGTCTTCCTTTGGATGAGGTAATTCTCCATCTTGGACCTGCCCACTACTGAATGAAGTAACTTAAGTGATTAGAATCAGAGTAACGTTTTCTATGTAACTTTGGGCCTGTTATGAATTTAAAGTGTTCCTTGACCGTGAAAGGAAAAAAAAAGAGTACCGAAAATAGCAATAGTTAAAATGCTGAAACTTGGTGTCACTTCACCGTGAACTCTAACCTTTGGGTGTGGCCTCTTTCCTCTCCCCCGCTGCAATGAATAACTTAATTTGCTTCCAGTGGTCAGGTTGTCAGTTAGCATCTGGGAGTGTTTAAGATACTTGAGCAGTTTTCAAACCAGCGGGTTAACTTCAGTGATTCCATCTTTCTCCTAGATTCCATTAGAAGTGCTTACATGTGTAATAAAAAAGTAATGTAGTTTAGTCATAGTACATTTAGAGGGAGAATCATGATGAAGAAAGCTAATCTCAAACCTAAACCCAAATGCAAATCCACGTTGTGATGGAGTGGTAAACTTAAAATTCCAATGGCCTGCCTTTAGACCCTGAAATTATGCCTTGTGTAATTATGAAAGAATTTACGTGTGATTCTAGTATGGTGATGATCTAAAAAGAAATCTTCCAAAATAAATAAGTCTTTATTACATAAATACGGAGCACATTTTGTTTCTAAAATGTATAACTTTATGACATGATCATGGAAGGCATCTTGCTCAACTTCTAAAAGCTTGAGAATCTGATCCAGCTTCTAGTTCTTCAAAGGCTGTGACCACTGGTATATGATACTGTTTTTCTGCTTCACAGTGGAGTGTTAGAAGCAAGTAAGCAAAAGCAGAGTTTCTTAAAACTTAACAGGATTGTGCAGGGCAAGCTACTGTTAGTTTTTACTCTGTTTAATACCATTACAATCTAGACTTTCCACATGCAGATTATTTTCTTAGTCCTTTGAGATGGATTTTTAGGATACTGTTAACTGCCTTCAGCTAGTGGGAGTCTGAAACCAGTTTTTTCAGATGTTTCAGTGTAAGGTTAAAGGAAAGAAATTACTTGAAGCTCTTCATGGTGTGATTCCAGTGGTGAGACACTGCATGCAGTACTCTGGAAGTGAGTGGGCTCTTGTTTTTCTGTTAATGGTGGCACCTAGTTTATTTGATATTCTTGAGATTTGAAAAGTTAAGGACTGAGCTTGCAGCTACAAAAATAACATAGTGTCTTTACATAGTGTCTTCCTGTTACATTATCCTTGTGAGTCTTGTGAAGTAAATCCTTTTATTAGTCCCATTTTACAGATAAGATTACTGAGATACAGGGTGCATAAGGAAAAAAAAAATCTAGTTACAGAGATAACAAATGAAGGCAGAATTAAACTGATGACTCCCAGACTTAGACTCTTTCACTGCTCCTTGCAGTCTCACAGTCTAAACTGTAATAGTGAAAATTTACGATACCAAAATCTCTAGCAGGACATTTCCAAGGTCCACATCCAGGCAGATTATGCACAGTTTTCAATCACACAAAAACATTTGTGTAAAAATAAGTGCCAGTAACAATGGATTAATTTGTTTTCAGTTTTTATGTTAGGTCATTCTGTTCCGTTTAATTTAGATTTTTCCCTAATACGACCATACTGCCTATGCTCATTAACAAAAAAGATGTGCATAAGAGGGAAGGATAGACATCAAAAGAAAGTATTAAGAACTGATTTATCCTAAAAAGTAATTCTTTGAACAGATGATGGAGCTTTGACTGTTGAGTCTCTTAAAATATCTTTTGTTTTGTTAATGAAAAATGATAAAAAACAAAACAGCCAAAAACTAGCCCTCCATTTTTTACTGACTGAGCTCTCCTCTTGTGACTTTATATTTCAAGTCCTCCTAACATGGTTTCTTCCACCCAGCCTCCATCTTCCCTGGTTATTCATTGATTCACCTTTTTCATCTGTTGGGCAGTCATTATTATTTTCTAAGTTTATGTGATCTGCATTTATCTGAGTTGTGTACAAAGAAAGTACATAAAGAAACACGTCTTGTCTAGTTTTCCTTCTAAGGGATGAGAATCTATAAAATACTCTCCTGAGTACACCTGTGAAGATCTCTCACATTGTTAACATATAAGAATGGACCTGTAGATGAAGCAGTTTAGTATTTTTCCGTAAAATAAAAGCAATAATTGTACTTTTACTGACTTCTGTACAGAAGTCTGGAGTATGGATAGGCATAAATTGTTGGCTTGGGGTGAATTCTTGAATTCTGAAAAATAAATTCAGAGTTCCAAAACCATTGAAAATTACATGTTCCTAAATGAAAAAAGCAACATATAAAGAAAAACAGATTATTCCATGTTACATGCTTATCTGAATCATCATTAAAACAGTATCTGAAGCAGTTTGGTTTCTTGACTGACCTAAACACTATATTTACTTAATTCTTCCGTTTTTATTGGGCACCGTTCAGGCCCCCAACACTTTGCTAATCTCGGCATGATAGTGATGCTCAGAAAACTTAAACATTAATGTTCAGCTGACCTCTGGAAAAAGCATTCATACTTATAAGGTAGCATGTAGATTAAAAGTAACATCTCACATATAACAGTTTGTTCAATTGGAAAACAACTGAAAGACACAAAGTAGGATGTTCATCGGCAATGGTAGTAGTATTCACCGTTTTCAATCTGTGTGATTCATATGAATGTCTTATTTTTGCCTTCCATTTCTGCCTTTATGTTAATTTCTCCCATTGGAGTTAATTCGAGCTTCATTTGCGCTCCAGACTTAGTAAAATAATTGCATTCAGATAAATCCTGAATGTTTCTATTTTTCTTGTCCACCTTCCGACTAATGACTTCATGACCCAACCATTTGCCCAAACTAGAAATTGGGGAATTTCCCCAACTTTTTGAGTTTAAGGAAATCAAGACTACCTTTTTTCTTAGTTCCTTTCTCTTAACATCACTACTTTAAATTAATTGCTACTTAACCACCTGGACTATTATTTTCCTTGACTGTCATTTCTGTCTCTTCCCTGATCAGCTGGAACATCTCAGCTGGAGGAACCTCTATGTAATAGGAATCTGAGCGTCTTTTTCAGCCCACCTCCTTCATTACCCTTATACTTTTGTGATTTCCCATTATTTATTTTTAAAAGGGCCAACTCCTCCTTGGTTTGGCATCCCAGATCAGGAAGATCTGCCCTATGCTGGCCTTTTTAAACTCTCCTCTCTACACGTGCTCTATTACAGACCTCACCAAGGTGTTTCTTACTTGTGTATTTTCTTCACCTGTGATCTTTCATCCTTCTTGACCCAGTCAGCTCACCTCAGTCCCTAAGTCCTACCTGGTGAGCTGTTTATCCTCTTAGCTTAACTGTCACCTCCTCCAGAAAGGCATTTTGACTTCAAATGGAGTGCTGCTGCTTCTACTGTTTCACTTACCAAATTGCTATGATTTTGTTTGTGTGTCTGTCTTTAATTAAAGGCTGTGAGCCTCTGGAGGATAGATACATATATCCTTTTTCATCTTTGTATCTCCAGTATGGTGCCAAGGAATTTCACACATTAAAAGCATATGTTCCAAATAAGAAATCCTTTATATTTGTAACTTCACTGTAGTTTTAACATCCTGCATTAGTTATGTAATAATAATTATCATCGACAGGATGACTTATTTTGGCAGGTACTGGAAAGTACTCTGTAAGATTTTTACCTCAATTTTCATTTGCCTTTTACCACAGCATTTCAGTATAGGTAATTGCATTCCCATTTTAAAGATGAGGAAATTGAAGCTAAAGAGAAGTAACTTAACAAGATCACAAAATAAGTAGCATACCTGGGATTTAAACACAGAGCTGTCTCTGTAGCCCATATTTTTTTCACCAGATCGATCTGCCATGAAATGGTTATCTGTTCTTAGCTCACAGTAACTTAGCGTGAGCACATTAAGAAGACGAGAAAGGGGCTTGCAAGAGGCAAGCACAAGTTATTTGATTGTGAATAAGGATATAGTAAAACGGCTATAGTTTTTAAAAATGTTAACTGTTTACTTTTAAAATTGTTACATTTGGAAATAATTAGCATGGAGACTTCTCTATAAACTTTAAGTCTTGTCAGGTGCTATCTTAAAGTGTTCCTAAAGAAACTGATAGCTTGTGGAAACGTGTGTGCATGCACGTGCGCATGTTCAGTTGTGTCCGACTCTGCAACCCCATGGACTGTAGCCCGCGGGGCTCCTCTGTCCATGGAATTTTCCAGGCAAGAATACTGGAGTAGGTTGCCATTTCCTACTCAAGGGGATTTTCCTGACCAGGGATCTAACCTGCGTCTCTTGCATTTCCCGCATTGGCAGGCAGATTCTTTACTGATATGCCACCTGTGAAGCCCTCATAGTCATACATAATCTTATTATTTATATTAATAATTATCCTGTAGAAAAAGTTAAGTTGTGTCTGTTTGCTTTAAGAAGAAACAAAAATTAACTGAGGTATTGAGATTTCTATTCAGAATGGTTTAAACAAATGGCACTTTTTTCAAAAAGTATGTTCTTAAAAGTATTCAAATAAGAATACTGTGAAGCCATGTAGAAGTGTAACTGCTTTTATTTATCACACTAACCCATGAACATAGTTAATTTGTTAACCCAATATTAGAGATTTTAGAGATGAAGAAACAAAGCCAAAGGTTAAACAACTTGCCCAAGGTCGTAGAGCTC